ACCCTCTATCTCTCGAAGTTTTTATTCCACGTGAATAGACGCCAATCAAGCGTTAAATCAATGCACCTTGGACTTACCTGGATAACAGTGAATACCTGGGGCTGACATGGAGGTGTTAACTTGGTGTCTACATAGATGACATTTAACCTGTTGGTCGTCCGTATGCAGATATAGTTAATTGGATATGATAGGTAAATTATAAAAAAAAAATCGCCTACACAACTTATTTTGATTTGAAACAAGGACGATAAAGAAATTGTTTTATTTGTTCAAAATACGTTTATTGTTGCTGATTTCAAGTAATTTACCTGTAAAATACAACTGAAAACGTGCAATGACTTTATTGATATATACTTCCGTTATCCTTAAAAGTAGAATATTGATGATCGGAACTGAACATTCCAGATTTTATTTACATCCTATCTCTCGAACCCCTCGATCTTTCGAACTTTTGTTGCAGTCCATTGAACTTCGAGAGATTGAGAGTCATCTGTATATCGTGAAAGATAGTGACGTCATTGTGTCTTCTTTGCTACTGTTAGTAGCAGTGTTGTTGTGATATTAAACTTATAAGACAACCATAGAAATTAGGTTTGATAAAATAAATCTCCAAGATAACAATGTACATATACATGTAACACTAACTGACACAATGCGCAATTGCTTTATTTTTCTGATTTAACAGAAAATTGCACGGTACATGTTTACCAGTTTTCGCGGATTCAACGATATCCAAAAATAGAGAACTGCACGCGATTTTACGGATAATATCCGATTTAGAGCATTTTTCCAACTTATTAAAGTTTGGAATGATTGTACTTAAAAGTTTCTTATATACCATTGACATAAATAAAAAAAATGTTTAGAAACTTTCTAAAAATCAGTTGAAGATAGAAAGTATCAAAATCTGAGAAACACCACCTATCAACTATATTATTGTACAAAGCTTCGCATTACGTGTTATTTATTGAGGTGTATAGAATCATTAGAATGAGGCTTGCTAAAACAATACATATTTTTAAAGTCAAGAATCCAGAGAATCAAGTATAGTCGCTGGTTGTTGATAATATTTAATATTTAAAACTAACAAGTGATTTTGAAGTATGTTCACTTTACAAAGGGAGTCGACATAAAATTAGCAGAATAATATGCAAATTCATCCAAAATCCAATAAAATAACGAGCCTTCAAATCAAAGAAAATCTTAAAACATGTACCAAATGCACACTGATATTGTAATCGATTAATTTGTTTCACTCATGAATAATTGATGAGAGAAGGATTCGAATGTCAATTAATTTGCACCTCAGGCGTTTCATGCGGGAAATGAATATCAGACTGATACTTTTAATCTATTCCAAAAAAAAGTCAGTGTTATTTTTGATGATTTCACTATTGTCTAGTGAAAACAACAACATTTTTTTACGTCAATTAAACTTTCTCATGAATTTCTAAAGAATTGCGTCTTTTGAATTGTATACATATATATTTTAAAATGTTATAATTTCAACATATTTCTTTTATTTTTATCCTTTAAGAAGAAATTTTGCAGAAGATATTTGATGAAATGTCTATAGAATTACTGTACATGCAGAACAAGTGACAGGATATCGGTTAAATTCTTAATTAAAATTGATGAATATAAGTACATAAAAGACAGAGTTTCTTATCTGATTAAAGGGCCATTATTTAAACTTAAAGGAGCTTTAAGAAATGTCAAAGTTCTAAAAGAGATTGAAAGGAAATGTAAATTGAAAAACCATACTTTTTTTCCTCACTTAACCCCGATGATTGATTTATCATGGTCATTAAATTATCATAAATTAACAAGACAATTAAAAAAGGGACTAGAGACAGAAGGTAAAATACAGATTTCTATGTCTTTGATGTGTTCTCTGAACAAACGTTTATGTAAAGATAAAATAAATGGAACCAAGAAATATGAGAGTAGTGCATATTTAGTAATACACGTCTACTATGGACTTCCCCTTTTCTTTAGGATGTCATTTTATAAAATCCTGTTTAAGATAAAGCTACCCAGCAAGTCTTAAATCAATACTTTTAAAGTTTTTTTAATACATGTAGCAATATCGTTTAGATTATTGATTTAGTGCAGTACGAACCCGATCTTAAACCATATCATGAAAAATTAAAAAGCAATCATTTATAATTCCGTCAAAAATCAATGAAACGTAACGACATGCATACTTGCTCTAAAACTCATCACTCGCATACCAAAAATTAGCTCAATATCTGCAAGCGTTTAGAAAAAAATGTGAAAAAAGTAGGACAGACAGGCAGACTTGGGGACAGCTAGACGGACGGGCGAACAAACTCAGATGAAACCTGCAATCGCCTCTAGTTTCACTGATAGGGGACTAATAACGAGCAGTATTCAAGCTCAAAGTCCATTAAACAATACAAAATAGGAACAGATCAAACACGGAACTTTAGAACATCAGAGATGGGATTAGGTGTCATGGAAGAGTGAGCATCCCCTGCTGAGCGGTCACACCTGCCCTGTGCTCCTTGTCATGACTTGGAAATAACAAAAAAACATCTGTCGACTATTCACATGAGAATGGAAATAACTACTAGACTAAGTATTGTTATTGACAATACGTCGTCTATAAATCTAAATGTCGAGTTGAAGGCCAAAGCAAGTGTTTTTTTTTTCACGTATAAGATTTTGGACAAGTTCTGTTCTATGAACAGAAAAAGAGGTCTGCTGATAATCGGACACAGTTTGTACCCATGGACATTCTTTTGCCCTTTATAGAAGGCCAAAGCAAGTGTTTTCTTTTTTTTTCACGTATAAGATTTTGGACAAGTTCTGTTCTATGAACAGAAAAAGAGGTCTGCTAATAACGGGACACAATTGGTACCCATGGAAATTCCAATAGATTGTTGGAAGACCTGGTCTCCAAAAACCACATAGATATTGCCAATGAGAAACTCAAACATATTTTTTAATGTCAACTTCAGAGTACTTGTACATGTATGCACAATCTGAATGTATTTTTAACAAAATAATTTTAATTAGTAAATGATCAATGACAAAGTAAGAAAATTTACTAGTTCTATTCTTATTTAAAAGCAGGCTGTCAATGATACCAGAAAGCCTGGACTTTAATTGATTGTGCGAAATGGTGGTGTATAAAGTTGAAAATTCTTTAAGCTGTTGATTTCAGTATAATCTTGTGATATCTAGTTTTCCAAAAGTTCCTTCGCATCCTTAAGTATCGACATCTAATCAACAATACTTCTTGAATATATTGTTGTACAGCACTCTTGAAATTTTGAAGTCGTGCTTCATTGAATATCGCACGACCTTGAAAAACCAAGGGTGCCCAAAATAATGTGATAGGATTGGATTTTATGAAATTATAGTCTTTATATCTGTTAATAGAATTTGTATTAATAATCGATGGCAAAGTTTAAGTATTGATTTTTAACAATATTTACCATGATCTCCTTCTCCGAACACATTGTCAAAACACATTGTAAGTTCAGCTCAGAGTTAACAGCAACAAATTTTCTGATCGGTTAAAATCTTTATTTCACATTCGGAAACTCTCTTGTTTTACACCATGATTTGGGAAATGCCCTTGTCTGAGTTATACATAGAATTCAGTTGTTGATTGGATAAGAGAGACACACCTCCGTATCGCAATTTATATGTATTTAAATTCTACTATTTTACTTATACTTCAGTTAATCTGGAACCTTCTTAAAGGTTGGTACCACTTTTTGATTTGAAGGGTGCATCCCGGTCCTTGTCTCTGTCTCGTTCAGTTGTCCTTTTTGTTTTCCTTATTTATACCTTCATTTTATTGTTAATTTTCAGTTCCTTATTTCTATTTTTGGTAAAACGGTTAGGCTAGGCATAGTAGATTTTCCGTGCAGGGAAGGGGCACTTCTCTTTGGACTTAGCATTGGATAGGACGGGCTCTGGACTTCGTACATCTGTTAGGGAGGCACTATTTTCTATTGAGGCCAAAAAGTATATACATGTAGGAAGGTCGTTAGTACATCAGTTTTCGTTGTAAATATACAAATGTAAATATTTTGTGCTGTTAATAAAAACAATTGTAGCCATAATAAATACTTGTTAATTTAAAAACTCTTGCTATCAAAATTTTTGGGTTAGTAAGTCTCTTTCGTGACTGTATGAGATATAAAATGTTTATTTATTGGTTTATAAGAAGTCGGTATAAATAAAACGCGAAGTACTATTATTGATTAAGAAAGTGTGTGATATTTAAGGGTATTTTTATACGGTCATCTTCGTGATACTGGTATCGTGGAATTTCCTAAACTGCATTGATACCATGTAGCGAATTCTGGTTACAATAATAAAATTAACGAGTTTAAGATATTTCTCATTGTGTTCTTCACCATTTTATTTCTGTATGAAATATACTTTTATTTTTGTCGATCTGTTCTCATGTAAGATACCGGTAGTCAGCATTTTACATGTACCTAACAACTTTTATACAGCTCAAATTAGTGCTGATCTTAAGAATTTTATAATACCCTGAACTCAATTTAAAATGTATTTGTGATTTTTTTTTCCAATATTGAGATAAGATGTTTTAAGGAAAGCTTATCTTTCGTGAAGTTTTTATCCTAAAATTAACAAAAATTTCATTCTTGTTTTTAAGAAATCAATATTTGTCAAGAATGGCTTCAGAAAAAATTAAATGATTCAAGATGAACTAATGAAGGCAGAGATTAAGATTTCCTCTTTGCAGATCAGTCAAACATGTATTATTCCAAAGCATATCAAGTTTCCACAGCATCGTAGGATTTATTGAGAAATTTTAGTAATAATCGTAAGCCCTATGCATTAACTACGACATACATTGATGTTTCGATCTTGAACCTGATAAACAGAAACTGTGATAGGAAATGAGTTTAGAATTGCACAAATTGTCTTTTCTGCGAGTATCATTCACCGAACATCTTCATAATTAAGGAAAGGACACTTCAAAATACATCATGAGGAAACATTTGACATATGTTGTATTGATGGCATTTATCTGGTGTCTTGCTGGACAAGATATAGAAAAGAAAATTCATTACGGTAAGAGAATACTGGATGCATTAATTGACATAGTTCAGGGAATCAGTTCTATAGAGTGTACAGAAGAATGTTTCAGTAGAAGAAGATGTTTGTCAGTGAATTACTGGAGAAGTATACTGTTATGCGAGATGAACAGTGTGGACACATCGACACATTTACTATCAGATGAACCAAGGACAGTGTTTGCTAGAATCGCTTCATGGGAACAGGTAAAACACTTGACACCGTCAAGAATGAATTGATATAAGAATACGACATTGAGTTAATGACTTATCTATGTTCGTTTTATGCCCCCGTAATCAAAGATCCGGGGGATATAGCTTTTGTCGTGTCCGTCCGTCTAGCTGTCTGTCTATCAGTATAGCTGTCTGGCTGTTTGTCCGCAAAAACTTGAACATTTCCCATAACTTTTGATTAGTTGAGTTATGACTTTCATATTTCACATGTTCATTTCTTGTTACAAGACCTTTCTCTTGGTAGCACCAAATTTACAATTTTGACCGTGGAGTTTGACCCACTTTTACACAAAAAATCCCAGCTTTTATTTTGGCCATAACTTTTGTAGGTTGAATACTAGGACTTTCATGCTTCACATGTGTATTTTATGTGTATTTTTGTGGCAGGACCTTTCAAAGGATATCATCAATTTTGACCTTCTGACCTCCACCTTGGAGATTCCTGTACTTATGAGATAACTTTAATCGTTGTCGTAATTTTTGAACTGTAATGGATAAGGCTTTTATACTTAAAATAATTATGTAATTCTTGTAAGAAGACCCTTCATTGGATCTGAGAACTTTGACCCTGTGACCTATTTAAAAAAAAACAAACCTCGACCATATCTTTCGAAGAAATAGGGCTGGGGCTTTTATACTTCATATATGTAATTTTTGTGACATTAGCCAACAAAAGAAACCAACAATTTTGACCCATTGACCTTGGAGTTTGACCTAACATATCCAATGCCATAACTGTTGAACAGGTGGTGCTAGCAGGGTTATCATATTTTACCATTGAATTTCTTGTAAGAAGACACTACTTTGGGTACCAATATATTTAATTTACATTTATCAAGAAAAGTTTAATTCAATATGTTGCCAGACAGAGGCAACAGTGTTTTACAAACACATGTTTTTTTTAAGATTGCGGAATTTTGTTCTCATTGTGTGTATTTGTTTCGAAGTTTAAAAGAATATATCTTTTAAACACCTTTGACTGAATTCTTTTTTTTAAAACAGTATTATAAAAACTGATTCTTACGTGGATTTCGAACGCAAGTGTTTATTAATATATAACCAGATTCCTGAGAAGGAAATCATATAATGGGGATGAAAAAGAATAAAAGATTATACTCTTTTAATCTTAATTATTGATAAACATGTATGCAACTTTCATTTTGTCATATTTTCTGTCGTATGGTATATATGTGTATGTATCTGTACAACACTACATGAAATTCCTGTTGATGTTGATATCAAAAATGCAACCCTTTAAAATGAGGGTAGAGTTCTGTGATTCAACATAGAATGTTCAACATAGTGTTAGTTTCACATATGTCAGTTCAATAAGAAATTTTCCATATCTTGATTTAAAGTGTTAAAAGGACAATTCCTTTTGTAACCCTAAGTATAAATTGTACTTCACTGCTGCCAATACTTTACCAAAAAATCAATTTTTTCCAATTATTTTCACCCAACAAAAAGTCGTGAATTGCGATTTTCAATATAATGTAGGAATCACCAGAGAAAACATTTCACTTACATGTATAATGAGAATAACATGAACAATACACCTTTTGATAAACTATATACGCTGTAACACTGACTAATTTTTTAATTGATTAATGAGCTTAATATATAATTTTATTTTTGAATTGCTTCAGAACAAAATCTTGTAAACAATCTTCAATCCATATGTTATGTTTTTTCTTCCATAATTTACATATCAGAAAACAATAAATTATACTAAAAAAGTTTCTATATTGATAATCAAAGCAGTATAACATCATTGTGAATTTCATTATATGTTTCATACATATTCATAATTTTATAAAAGACTATTCTGTACTGTTTGTAGCGTTTCATTGAAGGTTGCAGAGATCATTATTGTGCAATAAACATGCAATGTGTTCCTGGTCCTTTTGGGGCTCAAAGGTGTGAAATTTCAGGTAAATTATAAAATGCAAAAGTACTGGGGACAAATTAAGAAAATGAGAAATTTTGATGAAAGTTAGAAACTTTTTAATAAAAAGAAGAAATATTGTACGAGAAGCATCAAAAAGTGCGATTATTTATTTCACAAAAAAGTGACCTAATGTATATTTTGATTGGCGTTACATAAATTACATATACAGATTAAAACATCAGAGATATATAGGATCAGGCATAAAGGAGGAGTAAGTTTCTTCTGTCGACCAGTCCTGCGCATCGTATTTTAATAGACCTCTTTTGAACAGATTTATCATAACATAATATAAGTCTCTTTTTTGTATATCCTGTATTTTATATAATTGTAGATTCTGTATATGTGTTGTAGGTTGAACTCACAAAATTAAAGACAATGTTTTTCTTATCAAAGTTATTGAATCAATTATCTGCGATAGAGGACAAAGATCAATGTTTTGTTAACTGTTAACTAATTTACAGATTGCGGACCTCTTCCAAGCTTGAAAAACGCAAAAGAAATAAAATTAAACGGGCAGCTTCTTACCATTGAAATCGGTTCGCTAAGGAAATTCCGTTGCTATCCATGGGCTTTTGAGAATAAGTATAGACACAAAGCAATATGTCGATCAGACGGATATTGGACACATTATCAAAACACTTCATGCAGTATGTACTTATTATAAATACACAAGTCATTATTATTCAACACTACAGAAATGAAAAAAAATCTTATTTTCTGCTTCCGTTATTTTTAAAGAATGTTTTCCATTTTAAACAAGACTTGGTCACCTGTGCTACTGACGTGACATCGGTAGAAACTCTAGATATTAATAATAAAGACATTGATGTACCATATGTTTACTCTGAGGGACATAAATGGGCGGTAAGTCAGTAAAATTCGAATTTTTATTTGTTAAGTATTTTTTTAGTCCTTGAGCTTGCAACAGTTAAAATTTTGATCTCTTTTTTGTATAAACCCGTAATTTCCCCTTCTATTTACCGATACTAATCAATAACAAAAATCTATTTTCTGAACATACTCTTGTGTATCTTTTTAATTTAAAACCATTCATCTTACAATTGCATTTGGGGCGAAGGTCTGAAAAAATGATTGCATATAAGAAATAGATAAAAATTAATACATTCTCTCTTGTGTAATATACAATGCATTTTTCAACCCGGTTGCTCTTGTTGAAGTCTCGGATTTTTTCCCGAACTTTAAGGATACTACATATAACTGCAGTTTTGTATTTGACAAATTTTATTAGGTGATACAAAGAAGATGCTTGAACAACACAGTCTTTTATAGAAGTTGGTCCGACTACAAGACTGGTTTTGGTAACTTCAAAAAGAAATCTGATTTTTGGATAGGTATGTATACATGGGAAATGAATAAATATATGATAATTATAATTTTCATTAAAATACAGTATTTGTGATGAGAATAACTGAAAAAAATCCTTTTGAATTATCTGATTTAAATTTCAGTTTATTATTTCCTCTGTTTACACATTTTGCAACAGGAAATGACGTAATACACATGTTGACGAAAAATGGTTACAATCACATGAGAGTTGAGATGCTGAAGACAGACAACGAACCGTTAGAGGCAGAATACAGTCATTTCTTTGTCGGAGATGAAGGCACCGAATACAATCTAACAATAACTGGATTCAAAGGGTTGTATGGTGAGAATCCTGTTCTATAAATAGTTACATTTGAATTGAATATTTTATAATTACCACTTTAATGTCCTCTAAGGAAAAAGGGATATAGTATAGTATAGTGAAATATGACATCACATCAATTGTTAAAAACACATTATTTAATCATATGCAAAAAAACATAAAGATTGGCAAGCAGCACAGTTAAGGTTACAGTAAGGAGGCGGGGCCTAATTTATACGGGAAATATTTACTATGACGTCAAAAAAATAAGGTCTTCAAAATACCACAAAATGAAGTTATTAGGTATTTTAAACTGCCGGATAGATGTATACTAAGCAAAAACTTAGTATTACATGCCGTTTTGTCGTTTGATAAATCCCACACAACAATACATCAACGATGCATCGATCGCAATGCACTTGTCAATGTGACGTCATCTCGCAAAAATGAAGCAGTTTGTACACAGTGAGAGGCTGATCAAGTCACATTTTACAATGCAAAATGTCTTTTTGTTCTCAAATAAAATATTACTTGCAATTGCAGTTATATAAAAGGCCGTTATCTAATATGCAATGTCTATTTTCCTATTTTATTTATATACTGTCCATATATACTCCAGACAAATGATACTGTCGTATTTTTATATGCAGATTCATTAAAAAAGTAATAGAAGGGCCATAATAAATCAATTCATTGGAAGAACATACCCTCAATGTATCTTGCCAACTTTTTACAAATGAAGCATTAGGATATTTGAAAAGTGCTGCGAACATCATGACATTATGCAAATATTCATAGCTATATTTAATGTAGTTGACCAGCAAAATATTCGACCTGCCGTCCAACAAATTAAAATTAAGCACCTAAAAAGGTAATCTACATGTATATAGGTTTGCAGCACTTAAAAAACATATAGTGTTGAAAGGGATTATAAATTAGATTAAGATTTTTAACTTGATTATGCTGTTGCAATATTGGAATTTATAGATGACCTCTAAACTGCAAGTATTATTGCAAAAATATGTGACTTCGACATCACGTGATAATGTCCTCAACATGTAGATGTAAACCACATTACATTTTTTAATATCAATGAAGTCCTAATAAGAATTACCTATCCTTATGATGTATGTATTTATTATCTTAAAAATCGACGGTATTTCAATAATATGTAACCTTAACTGTACTGCGCACTAAAGAATATTTTGCATATCTCATCAGGTGATTTAGTGCATTAAATATCCCCTTATGACCGCTCACATCCGCTTTGACCGGGTTGTTGAAACGTTCCGACGTCGAATTTAGTGTGAAATTAAACAGAGACTACCGATTGAAATAAAACATATATCAGCATAAATACGATCCATTGACAGGATATTTTTGCAAACAAGGTCATTATAAGTACCAAAGAATCCATGAAGCCCTCATAAAATTGAGGTCGTTGAAGCCTGTCTAGGATTAAGAACTGTTCATATTCCGATGAATGATCTTGAGTAATAAAAAATGTTGACGATAGAAGAAATGAAAGTATCGTGTTCGTCTTACAATTTAGTTTTTCTCTTTTTGGCTTCTTTATTTCTTTCTTCTTTTTTTGGACTGAATTTAATGCATTTTCAATGTTTTTCTTAAGCAAAAAATCATTGAGAGAGAGAGAGAGACGAAAAAAGGGTCCCCAACTTTCATCAAAAGACTCTGTTTCATTATTTTCATAAGATATCTATTTATGTCATTCATACATTGTCTAAATAGAGGATATCAACCCAGATAAGGTAATGTTTCTAAATATACAAGTGTACAAATAAATGAAATATTTTATTTGTAGTGCAATTATTTTTTATACTTTCATTATTTCTAAATTTTCTGTAGAAAATTTGTTATCCTAGCTAAAGTTCCAGGAAATCTTTGCCGGTAGACCGGAGATTTTGATATATTTTTCAAGAAAGATAATCATAACATAATTCTTATCTTTGCGTGATCCAGTTTAAAGGTCATAAGAGAAAAATACCTGAACACATTGAGTTACATACGGGAATAACTTTATCTAAGCTGATAAAACTAGACTGAAAATATTATTTAGATTTTTAATGCAAGATAGCGACAACACAGTTGATCAAAATTACTCAGTCGGGAAAATGAGCTTTGACTTACGTTGTTTATCTCCCTTAGCCTATGACGTCAAAAAGGCCCAGTCGCTTTTTAAGGCTATGCAATGTTTGCAAAATGTCATGTCATTTTGCAGCTTAATTTCAAGAAATGTTATCATCATGACTGAAACCTTGTATAATTATACAATCTTCAAACGGGCTGGTATTTCTTTTTTTTTTTTTTTTTTATAATTTTCACCGCAGAGTTTCAAGATTTTTAGCACGTTTTATCAGTCAGTGATTATTTTCATCTTTCATTTGTTTGACACTTCGACCGATTAAGAGAAAGAATAAAAGCGATTGAAAGAGAGAAAGATGTGAGGGTGGGAATTAATTCACTTTTATATGCATGGGCATTTATTTACAACATTGTTTTTATCATCAAGATTCCAACGTGGTCAATGATTCAATTTTTCTGGACAATATAGAACTAGTGAATGCGCTACCTATATGATCATAGGTAGGGCCTTTGGCTTTTATGTTGTTGTTTATTTTTCTTTTAAAATGTGAAGTTAAACATGAAATTTTTATTAGGTTAATGTTTTTTTCAATAAATTCAATTTTAATTATTTGACAGCGTTTATTTATATTCACTTATTCATGTACAACACTCTACCCCACCTCCTGTCTCTCTCTCTCTATGCCCCCCCCCCCCCGTGATTTTTGATTTTCCATACTTTTTGTACAAGAAAATTCTCAAAATTTAACATTTTCCCAAATGGTCTTTAACAACTAGGACAAAAACTAAACAATTTACACTTGTATATTATGCGTTAGCTAGTACAAACGACTGTCAAACAAAAAAATAAACGGCTTAATCCAAGCCTATGTAGGAAAAAATAAATATATCATGGCTTCATTATGAAAAATACATCTATGAAATGTAGAGATAAGAAATCGGTTTTTCTTTTTCAATTTAGTAAAATTTAAAAAATACTGCAAATTTACAATTATTTTGACAGTCTTAGATTATAAAGAGCAGTACCTATCAACGTGACTGTATTGTACACTGTAAGAATCTCATTTGCTTTGAGCTTAAAATTAACTTCTTCTTATTAGTACTCGTCATAATGTATTGTCTTTCTGCACGAAAATACAATCATGTTGTCATATACTCAGGGATTCTACTGCTATATCGATATTGCAGCAATTAATGTCTGTCTTTCAGATCAGAGAATAGGAAACATGCTGACATTTAAAGTGACACATGCTTATCACGGACTTCAATACCACAGGTCCCCGTGTTTTTTTTGTTTTGTTTTTTTTTTTTGTAGTAAACATGAGGGATATTCCCTACATACTTGTTAAAATTCCTTTTATATTTCTATAGGCTTTATCAAATTTCTATTGTAAGTTGATATATGTTAATCTTACATGTAATACATCATTCTATTCTTTTTTTGCATTTCGCGATTTTCTTTGATTTAAAAGGATTTAATATTTTTTTCTTCAACAGACGATGAAATCTTCTAATTGATTTTGCATTAAGGGTACTTACCACAAACAAAAAATGGATGCACGGGTTGATATATATATTTTTTGACTGATTTTGATTTGTATTGATATAAATAATAAATCCCTGAAATATAAAGAAATCGTAGGTTTTCCATGGTGCTTAGATTTGAGATTTTATTTTGCCCTCTATATAATTCCATACAAAATTTTGCACAATTTTTTAACTTTATGACAAAATCTTATAAAATTCTCCCACTCTACTTGGTTAACATGATTCAGGTTGTCAATTTAAATGTAAATCTATAAGAAATAATGCTGATTTCTGAAAAAAGCTTGTTTGTGTTATTTATCCTTAAATATGGAAAATGGTATTAATTCGTTTCTTCAGTTTTGATTTATATGGAGTAGGTAATCATGTTTGGATTGATTGTATACTGTTTAACGTCCCTCTCCAGAACATTTCACTGATATGGAGACGTCACCATTGCTGGTGAAGGGCTGCGAATTTATGCCTTTGCTCGGCACTTACGGCCTTTGAGCAGGGACGGGTCTTTATCGTGCCAAACCTGCTGTGACACGGGGCCTCGGTTTATACGGTCTCATACGAAAGACCGCCCCATTTAGTCGCCTTTTACGACAAGCAAGGGGGGTACTGAGGACCTATTCTAACCCGGATCCCCACGGGGCATCATGTTTGGAGGGTAAAGGGGTAATTGTTTAAGGATATGCATCAGGGTCATTTTCCGAAGAAAACACCAGTTTTTAGTTGCCGTTATTTATTAACGACTTATTCAAATTGAAATGAAGGAACGACGAAATCATATATAAATTATTTGAACACAGACATGCGTTTATTCTAAAAATAAGATATAATAAACTTGATAAAATAGAGTATATTTACATTATATCCAATGATCCGTTTGCATTAGTGGGCCTTTGTGACGTCATAAAACAACAAAATCAAGAACGATAAGCGGGTAAGAAAAGTAACAAGTGGAATAATTTTTATCTTTATTTCACAGCAGAACAAAGGCCAGAAAATATAATTAATCGTAATTTAACATTCTTTTATATGTAGCTTTGGGTTTAAAAAGTGAAATTATGGTGTTAGGAATCATTTCCTATGACCTTTAATGTTGTGTACAGATTTGCTATCTAAATAATTGTCACATGACTTTGACATGGGGTAAAACGATACTGATTACAGAACTTTTGTTTTCTGAGGTTTGTATTTTGCAGTTTTGTTTAGCAGTGCAACTGATATAGTTGAAACGTTGTTTTATTAATTTTTATCATAATCTTTCATGGACAAATATACTGATTGCTATATACACAATAGTGACTTTTATTCTTTATGTAATTTTGGTACATGTAATGTTCTTTAAATTGACGTAAAATGTATATGCATGTATTTGATTAAAATTTAAAATTGATAATAAATATTATATGAGAAATGTCTCCTACCAAAGTCCAAAAATTGAAAATTAATGTAGTTGTCATGCATGATAGATTCTGACAATATGAAATTACATAACTTTATATATCATACAAAATACGGACATTTTCTTTAGATTGCATGACAAACAAGATTGATGAAAGAGCAAACGCTAATGGGATGAAATTCAGCACATTTGATAGAGAAAACGATCAATGGAATAATGGAATCTGTGCTAATGATTGTCGGTCGGGCTGGTGGTTCCATTCTTGTACTTGTGGAAATCTTAATGGATTGTTTGGAAATGAGAAGAGTGGTTCTGTGATGCGTTGGATGTGTGCAGATGGGTGGATATGTCCCCTCAAAGCCACCAGAATCCTGCTCAGACCACAGTAATAAAATTACACGACTGTTAATTACAAAAAATTGTAAAAGTGACCATAAATGTGCTAAATTATGCAAATTGATAACATTAAAAATCATGCAGGTTTAACAAGATCATAGTTAGATAAAATCGAGGCGATTTTCGTTTTTGATTAAAGACCCTTGTTATATGTAGTTTAGACTGTAATTTGTAGTTTAATTGGGAAGACAATATATATAGATATAGTGAAATTCATTAAGAACTTACAGTACCGACCGGACACAACCTAACACCAGAGCGATATCGAAGAGGACCCGGGTTCGCTTCGCAAGTTCGCTCGGGGTCCGCTTCGGGTTCGCTTTCAGAAATTTTGGGACCACTCTGGGTGCGCTCCGGGTTCGCTCAGGGTCAGCTCTGGGACCGCTAGAACGAACCCGGCGTTCGCTTTCTGGGACCGCTTTACGCACTGATGCGTGAAGCGGACCCCACTTTAATCTCGCCGCCAGTAAGCCCCGCCCCTTTTATATTCCAATACAGTAACGGAATTGCAGAATCGATCTTTGTTGTTTGGCGACAATCGACGTACACTGTACATGTATACAGTGACATTATTGAGAACATTGATAAAATTTCCAAAATTCAACTGTACATTCGACGTAGATTTATAATTATTTCCTTGATTTCTCCGCTCTCGGAATTTCGATCCCGAGAAATTCCAAGTTATTTAATAGAGGGCTATTAGGCATTTATTTTCTTTATTTATAACGTTAAAACAAAAACAGAAGAGGAAGAAAAAGGTGTTGAATCGGTTTTCAATGTGTCGAATGGTGTACAAGTGAAACTGACAAAAGCATCTAAACATGTTATCTTTCAAATTTATGCATTATATAGTTCTAAATCATATTTGTCATTCTTTGTGTTTTGCTAAATCGTAGTTTAAATGTTTGACAAACACTGAATTATGATATCAATAAATTAACCTATTGTACACATATTATATTTAGATTTTATTTATAGTAGTAACACATTGAAAGTTCGTAATAAATATTTACCTGACATTTTCTAAAAAAAATAAATAAATAGATTATATGACATCTTTATTACGCTCAGAATTATGGAGAGAGTATGATTTTAATAAGAATGAAAAAAATAAAATGACAAATAATAATTATTCTCCCGATAAGAATATCATAATATTCCCCCCTACTTCACATACACACATTAAAGAAATTTAAAATTATTTTTAAAAAATATACTTCTAAATATTTAAATGTGTATAAATATAGGAAAAATGAACACAAAAAAGAGATCGTAACTTTAAACTCTCATCATTAAACTGGATTTTAATAATAAAGCCTGATGGGTTTTTTTTTAATTAAATTTCCATGAGTCGTTCTTCCAATTCTGTACTCGAATTGTTTTCTATAAGCCTGAAGCAGCTTTTTTTTTCAAATAATACACTACGATGTACATGCACATTGATTTTTTTCATGCCCAAATAAAAAGATCAATAATTTTGTTGTGAATTTTGATTTAATGTAATTTGAAGGAACATGTAAATTGAGACAATGGAAATAAAATAATTGAATAATGGACACGTACATGTACGCTCGACACAATCTTGTACTGTATCTTGACATAATGAAATGATACAATTTGTCAAAGGCCTCTTTTTTAAGTGTAAAACTTGAAATGCCAATTATTATCTTCTCTTTTTTTCTTTTACGCATTGAGTGATATATTTACCCAATTTATATTAAATTTTATCAACGGACTTTAAATACTGGTATAAAAAAACCTAAAAAAGAAATAAATAAATACATAAATATTCATATACACTGTGACATTCTACCCGGAAAATAACATACAGCCCGGAGAATTAAAACAAATAAATATAAAAGTAGTATTTTACAATTATCATAATAGATTTATACTGTACAGTCACACGCTTTGCTTGTATGTACAATGTTTGGAATTATATCGAATAACATAACACTTTCGATCTTTTATCCCAATCGACAGATCAATATGCCATTTTGATTGATCAACGCGCTGATTGGTTAATCGCTAATCCTGATTGACAGCTCCGTAAAGAAATACCGAACTCGCGTTCGATTTTTGGGACCACTACTGAATTTGCTCGGTCTCGGGGTCAGCCCTAGCGGACCCGGAGTGAACCGGAAGCGGACCCAGAGAGTGAACCCGGGGTTCGCTCCGGATTCGCTTTCTGTTAGGTTGTGTCCGGTCGGTACGTACTGTATGATGCAAAAGTACTTTTTTAAGAATTATGTATGTCATTTCTTAGTAGATGACTACTGTTGTGTCATCACCGTTTGTAGGAAATTTATATTCGTGGATTTCGTGGGTCACCCTTATCTACGTATTTACATCCCCACAAGCTTTTATTTATTCATTTATGTAAACATTTAAATGCATTAAAGATATCGTAAATAACTTGTCTTGCAAATCAAGAATTTTGCTTGTCCAAGAACATTGATCCCCACGAATAAAAATTTGCCCATAGCTCAATTATGAGAACAAGTACACCTATTCGGGGAAAAAAAGATTTTTTTAACTGCTTGGAAATAGGAAAATTATTGTTTTCACAACTGAAATTAGAATATTATATAGTATTTGTAGACTATTCATTGTTATAGATAATCATATTTTACTTTGATATATATTGATATGTATCATTCTTTCGTGTCTTTTTGCACGGTTGCTTTTATTATATATTCATATTCAACAAAATGATTTTACACAACATCAAAATAAAGCTAATATAAATGATTGTTTTTTTCAAAAAATAAAAATATCGAAAAACAGAATTAAAAAAAATAAGTTGAAACTGTAATGGAAGATATAATCTTATTCTCAGACTTAGTTTTTTTTTTTTTTTTTTTTTTTTTTGATTATTTTTTTATAGGATGACTTACATCGTCTCAAGCCACGGTCCGGAGTCTGCATTTATAGCTCTCTCCTACCCGTGGCTGCTTGATCACAAAAAGCGTCGTAATCTTGAAAATTTACGCCTTTGGACTGTGACGTCATATTCAGTCCGTGGCAAGTTTTGTTTCCATCGCAATTGAAATCAACAACAGTATACAAGAAATATTTCCTATACTGCGATTGGACATTGAAAGGTCGCGATGAAGTTCATGATCCGACTATGCTTTACTCGCATTGGTCAATTTTTTAATGAGCTACGAGGAATTCTCGGCTCATTCAACCACGGTTAGAATGGGAGAGGATCGTACATTTTGGCCGTGGTTTGCGACGCTGGATGACTTGTTGGGTATTTTTCCAGAAAAAAATGTTCTCTGTGCACTCTTGGTTTGTACAAAGGGTTAAAAAATATTAAAAACAATTCCATACCTAAATTATTTGTTGTTTTATTGGATATATTAAGGAGGATTGCTCCTGAGCTTTTGAACAGATTGTTATCTTAACCTGTATTTAAAAATGGTGCATATATTTTTAATTCTTACAATACATTTGGATTTTACAATTATGACAATTTAACTATATTCAGTTATAAAACTCCGTGATTGAGTTGCATACTAAAAGCATTACGTGAGGAACTATATTTTGTTGCGGAAGGTCATTAAAAAAATAGTCATTTTTCTCCTTCTAAATATTTAAAGTATATCAATTTTGGATTCCTATTTTTACATGCAGCCTGCCCACAGAGTTATTTTGTGCAATGGACTGTTTAAAACTGGTCCTAAATCATCTATTAAATAACTTGTCATGAATTATATCATCATATTTGATAAATAACGCAAATATGTTGTGAAAATGAAAAAATAGCCCCAATTTAAGCTTAACATTAGCACTATTTTTGTAATATCAAAAAATTAACATCACAGACCCCCATTTTTGATCTTCCTTTCTCAATGTATACGATATTTTTAACCATTCTTTTTAAATTCAGTAACATGTCATTACTTTCAAATGATTTTTTGTTTGTTTAATTTTCAATGCCAGAAAAAAGAAAATGTGTGAGAGCAAAAAGGTCAAATCATTGAACATGTGGAATTATTTGATCCGCAAGTGAGTTAATGCTAGGTATAGGCGTTTTTATTCAAATGAGCTTATGAAAATGGATAATTTGCGTAAATTTGCGAAGGTACACGCTTATTTTCTTATACATATTTAGTGGCCACAGCATGATAAAGCAACTGAACATTATGACGCCATGTTATGACGTAATTGATCTTTTCCATTCAGGGTAATCAACAAAATAAGGTCGGTGCAAGGGCATATCCTGTTTAATTTTTAATGAATAATGTATAATATTAAGAGGAATGTTATAAAAATGAATAAAATTGCTGCACAAATCTATGCGCTTTCTCAATTGATAAAAAATCTAGGCATCTTACACTGGACAAAGAATTTTTCAACTCAACCCTCTTTCAACTCAAAACTTTTGAAATAGTGACTAAATAATTGCACTTTCGACATTTGTGCAGCAATATAATAACTCCTTAATATTCTGCATCTATTTATATCTTGTTTCTGAAGAACAAAAATTGGTATGCCCTTGCGCCGGAGCTATTTTGTTGATGTTCCTTCTAAACATGTGTAGTACAGGACTATAACGTCATAATGTGCAATGGCTAGCATATGTAGTAGTTAACAAGTTTGTATAACAAATCAAGTTTCAACTTTTTCTGTGCAATAAGAACAGCTCTTAAATCTTAAAATTAGTTTGTTGCATAGAAACCTTGATACAGCCTTAACTTTCTTGCGGAGCAATTTTTTGTTGTCACTAATTTTCATGTGTCTGCTTAAGATAAAATAAGACTGTGTTTGTTCACATAATTTTTAAGTTTTTAATAGGAAAAATCTTTAAAATTGATTTATGTGTAAGATGTCTTTACAGTGAAGAAAGGTCAAATTTTATACTACGTTAATCCCATAGAAGCGCATTGACCTCCATTCTTGTTTTGATATTTAATGAAGCTACATGTAGGTGTGTAAACTCTAGAAATATACTTGATAAAAAAAAAGCCTCATTACTTTAGACAAT